ACAACCCGAAGGGTTTTCGTCTCCAGGGCAGGAAAAGAAGGTGTGTAAATTGGTAAAGTCATTGTATGGCTTGAAACAAGCACCAAAACAATTGCATGAGAAATTTGACAGTGTCATGATGGAGAGTGAATTTAAGATCAACGAGTGTGATAAATGTGTTTATGTTAAAGACACTGAAAATGGCTATGTCATTTTATGTCTTTACGTTGATGACATGCTTATTGTTGGCAGCAACGATAAGGTGATCAAATCCACTAAAACCATGTTAAATTCGAGATTTAACATGAAAGACATGGATCTAGCTGATGTTATACTTGGAATCAAGATTTCAAGAACGTCGGATGGTCTTGTTCTAAGACAATCACATTATGTGGACAAAATCCTAGGAAAGTTCAGTAAGGATGATACTGAAATGACTAGAACCCCGATAGATACGAGTCAACATCTATTTAAGAACAAAGGTGAAAGTGTGTCTCAAGTAGAATGCCCGAGAATTATTGGAAGTCTGGTGTACTTGATGAGTTGTACAAGACTAGACATAACCTACACAGTGAGCAAACTGAGTAGATACACGAGTAATCCAGGAGCTGATAACTGGAAAGGGATAGTAAGAGTACTAAAGTACTTGAGATATACTCGTAATTTTGGACTGCACTATAGTAGATGTCTAGCGGTCATTGAAGGATTTAGTGATGATAATTGGATATCCGACATAAAAGACTCAAAGTCCACGAGTGGATTTGTGTTCACATTGGCAGGTGCAGCTATATCATGAAAATCTTCTAAACAAACAGTGATAACCAGATCCATTATGGAATCTGAGTTTATAGCTCTAGATAAAAGTGGTGAACAGGCTGAGTGGCTACGCAACTTCTTAGAGGATATTCCAAGATGATCAAAGCCTATGCTAATAATTTGCATATATTGTGATAGTCAATCGACAATTGGAAGGGTACAGAGCAATATGTATAATGGTAAGTCTAGACATATACGTCGTAGACATAATACCATTAGGCAACTACTCTCAACTGAAGTTATCACTATTGATTATGTTAAGTCAAAGGATAACGTTTCGGATCTGCTAACCAAAGGGTTAAATAGACAGTTAGTTGAGAAATCATTGAGAGGAATGGGACTTAAGCCCTTGAATGGATAAGTTAATACAAAGGAAAATCCAATCTAGTTGACTAGAGATCCTAAGATTTAGGTTCAAAGGGACAACCTAATTGAAAAGACTTGATAGAATCACTGTGGGGGATATTACCTCCTGTCCATTCATGTGATGCCCGTAAAGATGGAGGATAAGCAATAGGCTTTTAATGATTCTTATGCGTCGAAAATCGAGCCAAATAATGCATGTTACTTGTAATAAGAAATCACCTATGTGAGAGAGAAGTCGGGCCGCTTCTAAGAGAATTGTATGGGGCGCAATTCTTGTGAACTCTCACAGAACCAGGCGTATATTCATGGCCAAAACGAACATAATAATGAGAACTGAGATGTCTTGGGAAGAATCCTTTGTGAAGTGTATCATCATTTACATAAACGGCAGAACAGTTCAAGGACATCGCGTCTATTAGTCAGCCAGTGAAGTAAATATGGTTTCACAAGGGAAGGTTCAACGGGTAACACCTACCTATCCTATGTAGGTTTCAACTGTTGAACTATATCACCAAGTCGTCGTGTGTTACATTCACAAATCGTCATGTATCACATTCATAAGTCGTCATGTGTCACATGCATGAGTCGCTCCCAATTTTCATTCATGTGGGGGATTGTTGGAAGTTATGAGCCGACTTTGGTACGAGTTTTGAGAGGGACCCAATTGTTCAATTTGGAATATGAAAGTTAATTTGTATTATCCTCTGTGAGTACATCGAAATCATATATTTATTTGCCAAAGATAATGCTCGGGTGAATGAGAAATTGAGGCTCAAAGTGTGCCACTCAAAAGGGAGTTTATGTGGGAAAAATGAATTTGTTTCACATAGGAAAAAGATGAGAAACTCCAAAGGTCATTGTAATTAATGGTAGCCTAGCCTATAAATAGTGGCTCATTTTCCGCATTTCAATACACCAAAGCAAAAGCTTTCAAGTTTAGAATACACAAGAAATTCATTTGCATAGAGTTCTATCTTTTCTGCATTTCTGTCTTGGTGGTGGTATAGTTCAGGTACTAGTTCAATTCGTCGGAGTGGTTTCTACGATACTTGGAAGCTACTGATTTTACTATTGTATCCTGAGAAACGGACGCTCGTTTTAAACCTCAAGCACAAACGGTGAGGGGGCGAATATGTTTTAAGGAAACTGTGTGGAACACAGGCCTCGGTTTGCAATTTCATTTTCTACAATTTCAATTATTCGTTCTGTTATTTATTGCAGTAAATTCAATAGTTGATTTGTTGTTCATTCTGTTATTATCCAATTAGTTGTACGACTGTAACTTGCTATTATATATCATCTTACTAGACAAAAAGCATATACGGTATTGAAATCGAGAATACCGGATTCCTCATTTTTCATAAACCGACGAACTGGTGAAACTTGGGATTTTCCCCACAAAAATTTTCATATCCTTTCTCCTTCAAGCTTGGTATCATGACTGAATAAGACTTATGGATGTCATTTCAAGATATAAGATGTACATTGAAGTTTCTCATTGGAGACCCATGGTGCCAATTTCAGAGTGTGCCACTTTATGGTGGCGTTATGCTGGTGAAGCTGGATTGTAGCATAAAAAAATGTGGTCATTTGCACGAGTAAGTACAAATAAATAAGTATTGCTGCCTATGTGCTTGTTTGCATAGACTAATTCTTCTTTATTTATTTTATTTCGAAAGTCAAGTGTAAACTGCATCACACTCTATGATTGAAGATAATGACATGGAAGTCCTTTTTAGTCACGTATATACTTAATAATTTGGAATTGAAATATTATATTTAGAAACTTTCGGTTGAAATTTTATCTTCTCATTCATTCAAATAGGTTTTTCAATGTTATGCGAAATTATTGTGATTTCCTTTTTCTAAGCCACGATTAAGATGTGTTATGAATGAGAAAGATATTTTTCAAAGATATATTTTGTTTTCGTTAGATTGAAGTTTGGGCATATAAGCTATTAGAGTCAAAGAGGGGAGGGCAAAACAAAACTTGTGAACTTATCAATTGCAAAAGTTTCATGGAAAGGTCTTAAAGCTCTAGGATGTTAAAGGATTGTAGTAAAGCAAGGCTTTGAAGAAATTTGATGGATAGTACTGAAGCTAACTCTTTGATTCTTGTGTTGGGAAGACTACATGGCCTTATAGGTTGGGGATATGGTCGAAAAATGAGTGGGTTACAAGAAATTGATAGCGATGATATCGTTAGTGCATTTCACAGGGCTCAAATTTATTCTGGCTGATGGCAAATAATTTCTTGGCATTTAATAATTCTTGATGTACAAATCTAGGCTTAACAAGATATGTGAATTCTTGAATAACCAATTGCTCTTTTCCCTCTTTTAGATGTTTGGCTAAGCATACAAAAATTACTTGTACAAGTAAAAACTCGAAGTTTTAATTTTTATTGGTGAAAGTTAGAAAAACGTTACATCTTTGAGTTTTGAAAAAGTAATATTTTCTTTGTAATTTAAAGTACAAAACTTCAACGGATAAAAAGTTAATATACATTTTTCAGGCTTAGGCAAGCATTCTCAAATTGTAGATTTAATTATCTTTTGTTTTTGTGCAGAGACTTTGGATTTTAAGTTTCTCTTGAAGCCAAAATATAGTAACTCTCCATGTATAGTTGAGAAGGGTCCGAACAAGCAATTGATAGCGGGTACATTACAAGGGGATGGGAGGTCGGCTATGTTTAAATTGAGTGGTGATGAATTTTTTGAGTACAAGTATTTATTAACTTGAGTAGAGTTTTGCCATTTGATATTGTGGTAAGTTGGAAAGCATATCAAGAGAATATCTAGCCTTCAACCATTCGTGGAATTCCATATATTAGTATAAATTCAACTGCTCAAACTGGTCCTAAGGTAGGCAATAAGGTTGTTATATGGGAATTATTCCCTAATTGTTGGATTGTTCCAACTTCTTAAGTTTCCAGCATTTGATTCCTTTTAACTCAATAGGATATTTAATTGATGGAATATTGCTTGCATTACCACCGCGCACGTGTGTATTAACTTGTCCCCCCTGCTCTAGTTTAAAGGTTGAACCCAACCTTAAAGGTCTCTCACCGTCCCATCTCTGAAACATCGTGAGAGGGGTTAATCACGGGATATGCCCCAATAGACCAGGGAACAAGAGCTGCCTGTACACTGGTACCCACAAATAGTCTCAATCCATGTTTCAGAAATCAAACCCTCACACTACGACTACTAGCAAAGTTGAGTATACTTCACCCTTGTCCTTTACACCACTGAGATATGTCCCCCTTCTCTAGTTTATTGTGACATATTTAGACGCATATGTATAAAGTAATGCATAGTAGTGGCTGAAACCTTTAAAAAGAACAATTGTGAATGTCTTCTTCTAAGTTTTTATTTTCTTCAAGAATCCATCTCTTTGTAGCTAAATTTCTTTGTACAAGTTCTTTTGTCATTGGCAAAAGACTTTAATTATGTTCTAAATAATAATTATTGTTGAAGAAGACAAATATGATAACCTTTAGAGAGCAATATAAAATTCGGTGCCGAAGAAGGTATATCTTACATTTTTTTGTTTGTTTAGATTTAAGGAGTGTGATCATAATAGCTGTGTAACACTAGTAGAGTTTCTTCACGATATTTTATAGTTGGAATAATATTACTTAATAAGTCTCCCTGCATACTCAATAATGAAAAGTCCATCCCAATCTAGCCATATCAAATATTGACTCAAGGATGTAATTCACAAGAATTCAATATATTTAACACTCCTTAACATCTATTTCAAAATAAATGCACGGGCAAAGACGTGTATATATACGACTTCTTTTTGAACAATTAAACGATGCCGATGCCCGACTCTACAGATAACTACCCTTTTGATCCATATTTGGACCATCAGCTCTCTCTCTTTTTCACAATAATTTGATTACAATGATGGTACAGAAGAAATGAGGAACAAGTCAAATAACTTTTGGCAGCCAACCCACTTAGTACAATTGATGTCAGTTGGAATATAAATCCAACTTTTTAGGACAAAAAAAAAAAAAAAAATTATTATCCTTTCTAAGTTCTAATGATATTGTCCACTTACGCTGATAATACAATTTAAAAAATTTAAAATATGTACGCATTCATCCCCTTTTGAAGGGTCCCTAAATCCACTATCTAAATGAAAGCTCAATCTCCCACTGCAAAAGTGCTTTCATCATTCACCACTAGCTAAATGTGCCATTATATCATGCTTTCATCATTCACCACAAGCCAAATGTCCCACCGCTGATATAAAAAAGCAGATCATATCAATTTCACATTTTCTTCTCTACTTGAATCTAGCAAGGACAGGAGGGTACCTTTCCATTATTTTATCATTTTGAGTATCAAACTCTGCCTTGAAGCTGGAAAAAGGAGGAATAGTGGAATCTGACTTAGATTTCAACTGAAGGGTGGTGGAAGAACAAATATAGTGAGGGTTGAATTGGCACATTTGACTAGAGGAAGTTAGGACAGGATGATGTTGATGGATATGTGTTATTTTGGAGGTCTACAAACTGGGTTTGACCCGGGTCTCAAGAGTGGGAGGTATCGGGAGGTTGCGTGTGGTAGATCACAGAGGCGAGAGAGATGGGCATAATACAGAGAGCCTTGGATTGAAGAAATTGCAAGGCGGCCCCGACATTTTCTTCCATGAGCTTAGCGACCTGTAGTTCTGTACCATCGTTCGACCACTTCTCCCAGGCTGGCTGGGCTCTTTCGTTTTCACCACCTTCCACCTGCAAGAAATAACGCCAAAGATTATAGAACTATATTGAGAGCACCGTTCAAGGAAAATCGAGTTTTTTTTTTTTTTTTTTAATAATTACCTCTACTGAATTAATCGGGATTTCAGTAACAAGTGGTGCCACTGCACCAGCTCCTCCTAATCTACTCATGCTCAACACCTGGAAGGTCATGGTCAATTTATAGGATCATTTTTAAAAGCACACTTTAATTAAGAGGGTGATACAAATACAGCAAAAGAGATCTTGTCTAATTCAGTGCTTATGACTGCAATCAAGATTTTTAAATATGGTTTTCGATAGTAATATCAACCACATTGGTCAGATTTTAGGATTTTTAATGTAAAGACAGTGGATCCAGCAACAATGTTGCCTGCTCAAAGCAAAAACATATGGGAGATTCCAGGATCCAGGATCAAAGCTAAAGGATGGAAATTTTACTTTTGTCATTATTAGACAGGAAGCATCTCGGTCATGACCAAGGATGGAATCCCAACAACTCTGGAGCTAAAAAGAAAATTATAAAAGGTTTTTGGGGGTGACACCATTTAACATATATTAGTTGGTAAATTCCAGAACTGCATTATAAATTCACAATATGCTCCCTAATAACAAGATTAAGAAAAATATAGCAAGGCTATTTATTTTGTAAAACATCCTACGGCATTCAATGGTGCCAATATAGATGGACTGTCTTAACACTTCCTATTTGAATCTTAAGAAAGGAATCACCGAGGCCAAAAAAAGAGAAAAAAAAAAATTATATATATATAAATATAGTGGAATTTTAAGTTAGTTTACCTTCACTTGGAGTCTCAGGAATTTCACATAATCCACGATTTCATCAAGCATCGCTGCCCTATCACTCTGCATTAATCATTTGGATTTGAATAGAGTATACAACTAAATACTCATGACCCTAATTGTAACCTGTATGAGCGTGTAGATGCATACTAGATACACATTTTGAGATGTACCAACACACCTAGACAGTGGCCCTTTGTGTTTGGCAAAATCATAATGAAAACACTGAAAGCATTTATGCAAAAGGTAAATGAGCTCTTTCTTTCCATAAAAAGACAACTGCACATATATGTAGCAATCACTTTAGTTTAATACTTTCTAATTGGACTTTTATTTAATTGGATTTTTAAAATGCAATTATGAAAATCCACCATGGATGCATTAATCCAAACTGATTTGGGTGGCACTGTTTCACTCATTCGCCAGGGATAAAACATGGAGTTCAAATGTCAAGAAAAGAATTAACATATTTTTGATATAAGTCCTTTTTTCACTGCTAAGTATGTTACTTTTTTTCTTCATTTGGAAAGCAGAACTTTAGAATACAGAATTATGTATTAGATGATGGAAGCAATATAAACTGACCTCTATGTTACTTATTTTCTTCATTTGGAAAGCAGAACTTTAGAATACAGAATTATGTATTAGATGATGGAAGCAATATAAACTGAAATCAAAACCACTTATTTTCTTCATTTGGAAAGCAGAACTTTAGAATACAGAATTATGTATTAGATGATGGAAGCAATATAAACTGACCTCTATGTTACTTATTTTCTTCATTTGGAAAGCAGAACTTTAGAATACAGAATTATGTATTAGATGATGGAAGCAATATAAACTAAAATTATTGCTAATGTGTTCGAGGGCTGCATATGACCTTTGAAGGTATAGGATTTCGTGGCCGTGGAGAATTTTTGAAACCCCCCCCCAAAAAAAAGGAAAAAAGAAAAGAAAAGAAAAAAAGGAAAAAATAAAAGGTGAAAAGCTGACCTTGTTGACACTGGGGACCAACTCTTGCAATGCTCTTATTCTTTCTGCAATTCTTTCTCTGCGTAACTGTAATAAGAGAACCACAAAAAGAATAAAGCAATTGATGCAATAAGAAGAAAGCTTCACAGCCTCATAACAAAAATTACATATTATCTATTTGGAACAGAATCATCTCACACTGTCACTTCTGATGGCAAATAGCTATAACAGTTCAAACCTTTTTACTCAAAATAACTGGTTTTTTTAATCCCATTTTCATGTGCCAGCTATATAGATTTTTATTGTTGTCATCGTCATCATTTTTTGAATTTCTTCTTTCTTCTTTTTCCTTTGTTTGGGTGGGGTTGGGGAATAAAGCAAATTGTAAGAGAGGTCTTTGAGAAAAAGCTTGAGCTCTAATATTACTTTTCGGCAACAATGATTGCTTAGAGGAGGCTCTCCTATTAACCCTATTATCCTCCATGAACAGAGAACAGCTAGAACATCAGCCTCATGTTAAATAAATAAATCCACTCATCGTCATCATGCAGTTAACTAACATTTTGTTATCCTGTATAAAGGCACAAAAATGACTGCATCCAGATATCTAGAATTTACTAAACCACCACAGGACACTAATTCTGGCACAGCTCTAGTAGTCGGAGGTTTTGAGATTGCTAAATCAGTAAACCAGTAAGCAAACTCATGATATCTTACATAAATATGTGAAAAGAAGAAGTTTAGAGGTTTTTTTCCAAGAAACATTTATGCGTACCCTCTCGGCTATGCTGTGTGGATCTGTAGCTTGCCCTCGTCTAGCCCGCACCCTTGGACGAGCTGCAGGTGAATGCGGCATTGCAGGAGCCATACTAGGCATAGGCTGCCCACGAAAACCCTGTTAAGGGTGGAAATTAAATTTTTTATAAGGTCAAAAAAAAAAAAAAGGCAATAAAAAATTCATTATATCTCACATCTTTACCCCAAATAGCAATTATGGCGGCATCAAGAGTCAAGACAAGAGTGGATCATTATCCCAACTACTAAAGAAGAACGGCAAATGATATATTTTGCTTATTTATTTTATACTATCAATATTTTAAGAATTCATCCAACAAATTCAGATTCTTTAACTCATGTGTTAAGGATTTACCGCTTTGACAGAAGAGGCAGCTCGGGAATCAACGACGTTGTCACGGAACCTTTTTCCACTCCCCGAGGCATCGTCTATTTTCATAAACCCTCCCTTCCCTTGCTCCAAGCTCAACCCTAGCGGAAACCCAACGCCGCCACCACTCGCGCCTCCAGCATACGCGCTGCCGATTCCAACACCGAGTCCAACGCCCATGCCTCCAAGGTGACCCGAGCAGTCTCCTGAACTCAGCTGAAGCAACATCGGAGCCGGCGCTGCTCCCAAGCTAGCGGCCGCGTCGTTTCCCACCATGTTAGTCTCGGCTCCACCCGTGTAGGCCGGGTATCCAAAGATTTGCTCCAGGAAATCGTCCGATGTAGCCTCTCCTGGGTTATTCGCCATGGCAGTGAGTCAACTCGTCGACGTTGTTAGAATTCTGAATCACCACTTCAGTTAGCTTCAAAACGTTCCAGCTCAAACAATTTAGGGACACAATTTCACAAAATAAAAGAACATTTATCTATAATTATCAACATTTATCTATAATTATCGAAATACGAGACCTTATGCAGTTGTTAGTGCGATCAAATGTTTGAAGCTGGAGTAGGATTTTACAAGTTATGCACATATATATATATATACACTATGTATATTTTAGAGACGGAGAGATGATTCGCGCAAGTAGCAGTTCTACACAGGCGAAAGAATTGCAAACAGTAGGCGGAAAAGCAAGGGGCCCTTTTCAAATAGGTCCCTGCATTTCCACAAATTTACATATCCACTCTTCAACTTTTTCTTAATGCATACATACCACTTAAATCCCCGTTTGGCCCTTATTTTTTGAAATGAAAATGGGTTAAATAATTTTTTTTTGAAGAATGGGTGATTCAAAAAGAAAGAAAAAATTTTCGATTTACGTATAATATTATTTTATGAAAAATTGTGTAGCAAAACATAAAAGGAAAAAATAAAATGTAATTTAATGGAAACCAAATGAACGCTAATAATTCCAATATATCAAATTATTTATTGTATGTTTAATACACTAAAGTAGACGAGTCAAGCACAATAATGTAAAGCTTTTAGAATAAAAAATTAAATTGTTGATCTTCAATCCATAGTCATTCTATTGAAATTGTCCAAACTTTATAAAAGTAGATTCTACGTTTTAACACATTGGTGCTTACAAAATTTGAGGTACAACATGACTAACAAATTCTCCTACACGTGACGTGACATAACAGTCGATCGTATGAACTATATTACCTTTGCAGTATTATAACCAAAGTCTTGTGAGTTTTATCATACTTGTATGCTCATCGGCCCATGTGAGGGAGAGGCGTCCGAAAGGTCTTTAGGAACCCGGGGTTCATGTGGGCGATCCATTTTTATTTGGATCGTGCGATGATTAGTGAAGTAAGGTAAAATATTTTGAATACGTAACTAAAATACAAATCTAATTTGATCATTGGGGAAAGACCAGATTTTGCCAATCACATACAATTAAGCCTAAATTAATGCTTAATTGAAGGGAGGGGATCAGATGGGCCAAGAAAGACCAATATCCATAGCGTTAAAGACAAACCAATTTCAAAACTAGGAAAAAAGTCAAACAAGTGGACAACTTAAAGTCAAAATCAAATCAAATGCAGATAGCATTCATAAATTGTACAACAATTTCAAAACCTAACAAACACATAGGAGACTTCACATCCATAGTGGGTCATAATTCAATTTCCACAAAATTCAACGCAATTTCAAGAATCAAATCTAGAAAACAAATGCAATCAGATTCTGGAGTAGGGTCAAAAATCAAATCAGTTCTTCTGGGAGAAATGTAACAAGCATCATAGAATGGAATAATTTACCATTATGATGCAGACAACAATTTATAAATTATTGAGAGAGAACCTCGTACAATTCATCTTGAAAGGGCAAAATTGAATTATGCTGCCAAAAACAAAGTGAAAATCTGGAACTGCAGAAATTTGTAGTGCATGGATTCTGATCGCACAAATATTTACATATGTAGCTGATAAACAAAGTTAAGCGGTCGGAAAAGAGTCGTGGGTCCATTTATTTAACTACAGGAATATAAGATAAATGCAGAAATGACAGTGCAGTAATTATGATTTCTTCTTTTAACAGTAAACTTATCTTCACTAAACTGAAATTAGCATGAGACCAATGTTTATATATAACTAAGCTTGATACCTATCAGTAAGATGACTACAATTGGACGCAATATTTTAAAAAATATATCCCTTTCCACAACTAGGAGATTAAATAATTTGCACAGCATTGGCTATAAATAATTCTCATGGTACACTTAAATATGCTTCTTGTTGGGAAATAATCAAGCAGACTGCGGAAGAAGAAAATGTTACATTGTCATTCAATCTTTTTGGTTTTGAGGCTGTGAGAAAAAATCTTTTGCATTATGTGCCACATCAGCCTCCAGTACTGCTGCCAATAGTATGTCAGATCCCTTTAAGTCATCTGAAACAAAATTCACTCGTAAGTTCATAAAGCACATACGTGATTGGTGTCCATCAAGCCATCAGTATCTTTATTCAGTATACAGATCCCTTGATGTACACCCCTCCAAGGCATTTGACGTAATAAATGGTTAAAAGAATAAATTGCAGCATAATTAGTGCATAATGATGAGTAGCAAACACACAGAAACGGCCTCTTAGAAATAGTCACCTTTTCGGTTTGGCAACAATCCTGCACTTTCAGCGGATACAGGGAGGACAATGAACTGACCGGACTCATCGATTAGTTCATGAAGAACTTCATCTGTAGACTTTGCATCTAAGGATGTGGATTCAGCCAATCTTGTATATGCAGTTGCTTGTCTATGTATATCAGACAAATCTAAGGATGGTGAACTATGATCCTTAAGGCAATACAGTGATCAAATGTTAATGAAATGCAAATCATTCACTAAAAGAAGGCGTAATGGAGTTAATATATTATAATAGTAATAGAGATTCACAAGTATTATAAACCTTCAACGTGGTAGCTGTTGCAGCATTCTTAACTCTTGCTGAGTTCTCTTCAGGAGGTTTTGAAGTTTCTTCGTCCACTAATTCCAAAAATGATGTACCAAAATACTCATAAAAATGGATGTCACCCAGAGTATCCAGTATAACATTGAAAGCTTAAGCAAAATATGATACCATTGCCAGAGGATGTACGGCTAGCAACATTGTCCACTAGCCTCGTTGTCAATGGACCAGGATTCATGAAAGAAATAGACCGAATTTCATGACGTATGGCTTCTAACTGAGCCATTGTATCTTGCAGTTCTCTATGAACCTGTCAGTTTTATTAGAAAACTTTATATTTGAAAAGCAAACAAGTCAAAATATCATTCTGGTACACTTTCAGAAAAGGAAAAAAATAATAAAAAGGGTTAGAAATGAAATTGATAGCTTGGAATTAGTTTTAGTGTTACACATGAATTTTAATAAATAATGTCCTATTTACAGATAGGACATCTAGAATAAGTAAGATTTCATAAAAAGAACACCAGATCAAAATGTCATCAATATTATCTTGTTGGAACAAAATCAACCCATTAGGATTCACATAAAATTCATGTTATCAACGTTTTCGCACAAAACAATTGAACATAAGAGAAAAAGTTAGAAAAAATGGCCTTTATGAGAGTTGCGTAGAATGCTGTCCTAAATGCAGCGGCTGAATACTACTCTGACATAAAAGCCCCTTAATCTCACCGTGGTATCTCCTATCATGAGCATGACGATGGGGAGAAGTCAAGCATGCCATCTTCTTGTTACTAAAGATAAAGTATCATATGTATTTAGGAATATAGAATATATGAATCCAACACAAACTCGAGTGTGTATATACTTTTCCTCAAAATCACACAAATGGTAGTAGATGAAATACAGTTAGAGTAGGAAAAGTTATGTCAGTTTATACTACCATACAACCTCTCACAAATAATATGTTGTAACTCATATTAAAATTCATATTATTAACCATGAATAGTAGCTCAATGGTCAGGCTTGGGTTTGCTCCTCAATGGTCACTAGTTCGAGTTCCCTCGGGACCACTAAAATGAGTACTCGACTGTAAACTTCAGGGCCCCGTGAAATTAGTCGAGATATATGTAAGCTAACCCGAACACCCACGGTCATCAAAAAATATATATTGAAATTCATATTATTATAGGACTAATGGCTATGATAATTAATCATAAAAATATAGTTATGAACATTAATCATGTAATTATATATTACTTACAAGTGGTAGTCAGAGAAATAAAATCTCAAATTAAAGATTAATTAAATTAAATAATTGAAAGGTTAAACTTTGTTTAAATTTAATCAACTTTTAAACCAATCAAACTTTAGTTTTAAATTACATTTCAAGGGAAATCACAACTTTTTATCAACTTTTCAACCACAAATTAAGTTAACTTTTATCAAATGCTTTGTCAAGCGACCAACGATGCAGAAATTGGAAGAATGACTTCTAACGTTACCAATCCACTCTCACCCTTAAGATTTCAAATAAAGTTCTAGGTAGCATTCTCACAATCAATCAGTGTGCACATTATGTGGATCGAAGACACGAATACCTGGCGAGCTTGCGATTGCTGCATGACACTTTCGAATTGGCCACGGGCCATTTGAACATATCCGATTGCACGCCCAGCTAATCTCCCAGCTGTTCTAGCTATAATCGGCAGATCTTTTGGGCCTAATATCATTAAATTTTCCCCCCATAAACACATAAAAACCCTAATTTAATAATAATTTATCAAATTGGGAAAGCATTTTTAAATTTCAAAAGCGAATACATGAACTCAATAAATTGTGGCATACCAATAAGAGCAGCAGTAGCTCCGAGCAGAAGAAAAACCTCTCCGTAGGAAATTCCGAACATTTTTCGATTTCTATTTTCCTGAAAAAATTTTGCCCTTTCCGATCTTTTTATTATTCTTTTCTTTTGAGCTTGAGAGCTTCAGTGATGTAATGGCATATCGTTCAACTGCAATAGGTCAGAAGCTTGGCTGAACCGTACGACCCTGATTTGTGTACTATTCAGTGAAAACTCTTTCCGGCAACTGGTGGAATCGGTGGAGATATGCGGTGATAATATGCGAGAGGAATGGTAGAGGCTGCAGTGATAATGAAAGAAATTTTTTATGAGACACAGTGCGAACTGCGAAGCAACGTGGTCTGAAGAGAGACATGGGAGGGATTAAGAATGGGGAAAAATCTTAAGGTATTAGGAGTGCATCAAATCAATTTCTACATTTTAAGTTTAAAAAAATGCAAAAGTGAGGTGTTAATTCTAGTTTTAATTTAAAATAATAATATTATCAAACCAGTCCTCGGCATTCACTTGCTGTTAACTTCTTTAGCAACGAACATGATCGTCGCCGCCACAAAACCCATACCTACTCCCACGCACCCTCGTGCACCAGTCGTTGACATCCACTTGCCGATTACTTCTTCAATGACAAACATGAGCATCTTTGGCTCAAATAGGAGAGATAGACGAAAAAAATATAGTGATCATGGGAAACATCGACTTGTGTAATTTACGGAATACTTACAGAAGCAACTATCTTCAATTCTCATTGTCAAAATATGGTTAAATGAATTTGCGACCAATTCAGATAACTAAGGTTAGAGAAATCAATGGTATGTAATCAAATCTCTTGAATTTGTGACGTTTGACCTAGGCACTTTGACATATTTGTCTGTGACCTGATCCAATGGTCCGTGACCAAATCTCTTGAATCTGTAGCATGTAGCCTAAACTAATGATCTGTGACCATATCTCTTGTATCCGTGACCATGACCTATGCACTTGACATGTGATCTATGATTTGATTCAATGGCCTGTGAACAAACCTCTTTGGTATGTAATCAAATCTTTTGAATCCGTGACATATGACATATGCACATTGACATGTATTCCGTTACATGTGACCGTGATATGGTTCGATGGTCTGTAATCAAACCTCTTGAATTTGTGACCTATGTACTTTGACATGTGACCCATGCATTTTGATAGATCACATATTTAAGAGATTTTGGTCACAGAAACTCAATCAATTGTGACCTACACACCACCACCATCACCACCTGTGAACATTGATCCATCACCAATATTCCGCTACAACCGTCACTGTAACACTCCACCACAACCACTAACAACCCAACAACCAAGTAAGTCACATGTTCGTGTGAAACCTGCAAGCGTACAGGATCGTTGTACAAGTAATAAGATTTGTGAGTTAAGAGTATCGTTTCCACGAGGAATAAGGTCTAATATTTAATTAAGTAGCTTTTACTAAATTCGAAATAATATAAAATCAAGAAAGTTGTGATTTTTATGTTTTCTATGCTAATCTTAAACTAAAAAAACAAATAAAATATTTATTTAATATGTGAATATTTGTATTGGAGTCGTGAATCCCCCTATTGTCATTTAATTCAACTCTTAATTTATAATTTAGTAAATTCATGTATTCAATCATTAGATATTCTTGACAATCTTAAAAATGCATTTATACTTTGTTCCCATTCAACCATTCAACAAAGTCAAACGAACACTAAAAGATATATGATTTTCTTGAAAAAAAAATTTGTGTTGGTAATGGAAACAAATTTCATCCCTAATACCAGTAAAATCTATCCCTTTAATTGATAATTTTCATGTAAAACAAAACCAAACGGAAATCAAAAAATACTTTTATTTCAACATTTTTCACATGAAAAATTATCTCAATCAAACACAATAATTTAGAATTCTTAGGAAAACAATTTCTAGGCAATTCAATTTCTTGGAATTCGTTTTCAATTCAATTCAATTCCATCTTTGCAATCAAATGGACCATTACTGAAATGACTTTGAGGGTTATTTGACTTGATTTTTTTACTTTTGTTTCATATAAAACGCTCATGAGAAAGTTGTCTAATTTTTCCTTGAAAATTAATTTTCAAATCTATTTCGAATGTGCTTGGATCACCTTCTCTAAAATCTCTTTTAATTAAATAAACAATTTCATAAAATTAGTCATACGAGTTCAAAATAAGACTCGACTCTCAAAAACTTCTTTTTCGTTTCTCTATAATCACACTAAAATTCTATAGAGAAAGAGAGTCACTATTTTCATTCACCATTTTTATATGTCTATCAACTTTTAAAATTATATATATATATATATATATATAT